ACTCCTGTCCCGGCCACAAGAAGATTTTCGTTGTTTTTATGATGATGATGCTACATGTGGTCTATGCACCTTACTTAAGACTTCCTGGGTGGCACAAATGATTAATGTTATTTGGCTACTAAGCAAGTCCTGGTGTGGCTCTGTGGGCTAATGCGTCAGATTGCAAAGGTGTTTGAACTGCAAGGTCAGTGGTTCAAGCTCACCAGCTGCTCCTGGGAAACCCTATACAGGATCGCTATGGGTCAGAATCGACTCAACGGCACATAACAACAACAACAACAACTAAACAAGAAGTTAAAGGTTTGAGTCTATCCAGATGCCTCATGGAAGAAAGGCCTGGTGATCTACTGCTGAAAAGTCTGTCACTGAAAACACTGTGGAGCACAGTTCTATTTTGATGTAAATGGGCCACTGTGGTTGCAATCTACTCAATTGGAACTGACTGGGCCATGCTTCCAAAACCCAAATCCACTGCCGTCAAGTCAATTCGGACTCATAATGACCCTGTAAGACTGAGTAGAACTGCTACTTAGGGATTTTGATACTGTAAATCTTTACAGAAGCAGACAGCCTCATCTTTCTCCCATAGAGCTGCTAGTGGGTTTAAACAACTGAACTTTTGGTTAACAGCATAACGCTTAGCCCACTGTGTCCCCAGGGCTCTGGGTCATACTTAGAGAAACACCAATCAGGCACATAGCAGCCAGAGGGCCCTAGTCTGTCCACTCTAAATGCCTGAGTGATTCAGCGCATTATGCTTCTGAGCATATCCTTTAAAATCAAGTGACTTGAGTTTAGATTCTCCCTCCCTGGTTTGACCTTGGGACAGTGACTTGACATTTTTAAGATCCAGTTTCATTTTACATAAAATGGGAATCATATTTCATATTACAATCTGTTGGTGTTATTTTGAGACTAAAATACGGCAATGTGTGTCTGAAATAGTTGTTGTTAGGTGCCATCTAGTCGGCACTGACTCATAGCAACCTTACGCACAGCAGAACGAACGAAACAATGTCTGATCCTGGGCCAACCTCACTACTGTTGCCACACTTGAGTCCATCGATGATGCCACCTGCCCAATCAATCTCATTGGGGTCTTCCTCTTTTTCTCTGACCTTCTATTTTACCAAACATGATATCCTTCTCCAGCAACTGTTCCCTCCTGACAATATGTCCAAAGTATGAGAGATGAAGTTTGGCCATCGTGGCCTCTAAGGAGCACTCTGGCTGCACTTCTTCCAAAGCAGATCTATTGGTTCTTTTTGTAGCCCATGGCACTTTAGTATTCTCCTCCAACATCATAATTCAAAGGCATCAATTCTTCTACGGTCTTCCTTATTCACTGTCCAGCTTTCGCATGCATATGAGGTTATTGAAAATACCATGGCCTGAGTCAGGTGCACCTTAGTCTTCAAGCTGACATCTTTGCTCTTCAACACTTTAAAAAGGTCTTGAGCAGCAGATTTGCCTAATGCAATACGTCATCTGATCTCTTGACTGCTGCTTCCATGTTTAACTTGTACTTGGCACAAAATGGGTGCTGGATACATACTAGTGGTGGCGGTTGTGTGTCGGTGAGTCCATTCTGATTCATAGCATACCCATAGAGGGTTTTTATGGGAGCCGCTGACGTTTGTATTAGCAGGCAGCCCACCATGTAACCACTACACCACCAGGGCTCCTTAGATACATAGTTGTTGTTGTTGTTGTTATGTGCCGTTGAGTCGATTCTGACCCATAGTGACCCTGTACAGGGTTTCCGAGGCTGTAAGTCTTTACGGGAGCAGAAAGCCTCATCTTTCTCCCTCAGAATAGCTTGTAGTTTCGAACTGCTTATGTTAAGGTTCACAGCCCGATTTGTAACCACTATGCTACCAGAGCTCCTTTAGATACATAGTAGTAATAGTAATAATAATACGATGGTTGGTAGTGTCATTATCACTACTGTCATGATTCATCCAGAGTTAAGCTACACTAATATGGAGATGTCTCTTTATTCTTGGTGTGGTGCTGCGGGTTAATGCGCTGGACTGCAAGGTTGCTTTGAATAGCAACGTCAGTGATTCAAGCTCACCATCCGCTCCTTGGAAGCCCTATACAGGATCGTTATGAGCCGGAAATGACTCGATGGCATGAGGTGGCTATGTAGGACAAACACTGTATTGTGAACCACAAAATTGTCAGTCTGAGTCTACTAGTCTCTCCAAGATGGAAAGATGAGGCTTTCTGCTCTTGCAAAGGTTTCCAGCCTCAGAAACCCTATACAGGGTTCTGAAAAGTTGGAACTGACTTGACAGACTTAACAACAGCAATAGATATTAATCATAACATATTATATTAATGAATAATTGTATGCTTATATTAATATATATTGTATATTAATATGTATTAATATATTGCCAACAACAACATTGTGATACAGAAAATATGGCTGACTAATCTAAAGAGAAATTCATGAAAGTTTATATAACCATAGTGAAAAAATTATGTGAAAAACCCTTCTATTTCCTACAGAATAAGATATATTATCTTTCTCTTATTGGACAGAAAACAAAATATATTAGGAAATAGGGTAAAGATCTGCTTTTTACTAAGACAGTAGTAAATCTGTCTCTCTTGTAACCTGTCCCCTCATTATTTTGGCAAACTTGTTAATGTTTGTTTGTAGTTTTGAAACTTATGGAGTTCAAAAAGGAAATGGGAAGTATTAATTATCACTCTCACCCATATTTTTCTAAATGGTCTGTATGAATGATAATTCCTTTCTTATTGGTGGTGCTGTGGGTTAGTCACTGGACTGCTAACTGCAAGACTGGTGATTCAAGTCTACCAGGTGCTCAGAGGGACAAAAATAAGACTTCCTGCTCCTAAAAATATTTATAATCTCAGAAACCCTATCTGAGGTCGCTATGAGTCAGAATTAACTTGATGACAGTGAGCGTTTGAATACTTAATACAGAAAATTAAGAGTATTGTTGCTGTTGTTAAGTGCCGTGGACTCGGTTCCCATGCATAGTGACCCTGTATAGGATTTTTGAGATGAAGCTGGTGGGTTTGAATGTTGAACTTGTGGTTCACAGTCCAGTCTGATCCTACCACGCCACAAGAGAGTATATTGTTGTTGTTGTTAACTGCCATGAAGTTGGTACTGACTCATAGCGACCCTGTATAGGGTTTCTGAGGAGTGGCTGTTGAGCTTGAACCACCGATCTTTTGGCTCAAAGCGACTTTGCAGTCCAGTACATTACCCACAGAGCCACACAAGAGAGTAGAGGAAACTTTAAAAATGAGAAACTAATCACAATATATTCACTATTGGGTTTGGCACTATAAGATAAGCACTAGATGCAAGGTTGGTGGTTCAAACCCACCAAGGCACTTAATAACATTATATAATAGAAGTCCTGGTATGGCATTGTAGATTAAGCACGGGACTAGAAACCAAAAGGTTAGCTGTTCAAACCCACCACTTAGAGGGTTACTATAAGTTAGAAATGACCCCCATGATATTTAACAACAGCAAGATCATACATCAAGCATTTTCACATGTTGCTGAAATGTCTTCATAAACATACTATTTGATAGCTGAGTAATTTCATGATTTGAGTGTAAAATTATTTATTTCATCTATCTTTTATTTTGCATATTTTTGGGGATTGTACTATATTAAGATATTAAGGAGTTCTGGTTATGTAGTGGGTATGAATCAGGCTGCGAACCTCAAGGTCAACAGTTCGAAACTACCAGTTGTTCTGAGGGAGAAAGATGAGGCTTTCTGCTTCCGTAAACATTTATAGCCTCAGAAACCCTATACAAGGTCGCTATGAGTCGGAACCAACTCCACGGCACATATCCACAACACCACCACTATGTTAAGATATACTACAAGGAAAATTTTTATACATGATGCTTGTATGTGTTTGTGTATAAAAATTTTCCTTAGAATCTATCCCTAGATTCAGAGTGAAGATATGAATATTTTATATGTGAGCGATGTCACAAAATTTCTTTCCATAAAGCTTGTGGCAATACTCACTCACACTATCAAATGGAAAATGCTAACTTATCTGCAGACTAAAGATAGTAAATGTGTTTTAAGGAGTATCTTGGCTATTATATTTCTTTGCTGCAAATTATTTTCTTTTCTTGGCCAGCAATCTGTTGGAGACTTGAATTTTTATTAATTAAAATATTTATTATTCTCTTTTTCAATTAATTTTATTTGTGTTAATTACTTTTAATTTATTAATTACATTGACATTTTATGATTTATGCTACATAGACTGTTTCCTTATTGATATATATGCAATTATTTGTTTTTATGGTTAGAAAGTCTTCTTTCATGTAGGATTTTGAAAATTGTCCCTTGTTTGTATGACACTGTAGGATCAGCACTGGACTGCAAACCACAACGTCGGCAGTTCAAACCCACCAGCTGTTCCTTGGAAACCCTATACAGGGTCACTGTGAGTCAGAACCGACTTGACGGCACTTAACAACAACAGCAATGTGTATTTTAAAAAATCTTTTACAATTTTATTTTTAATTTTTTTTATGTAACACTTGAATGTTGTTGTAAAATCTGAGGTGGACCATTTAATTAGTTTGCAACTGTTGCTGCTGTTTCGTGCTGTTACCATTGAGTCGGCTCTGACTCATAGTGACCTTGTGTTGGGTTTCCAAGGTGGTGGGTTTGAACCTTGTGGTGGGTTTGAACCACCGACCTTATGGTTAGCAGTTCAGTCCTTATCCTATAATGCCACAGTTGACATTTATTTAGTACTTGCATTAAGTCAGGCACTATTCTAAAAGATTTACCTGAATTAATTTACTTAGTCACTATGATTAGGAAGTAAGAGACATTATTGTCTGCATTGTCATTCATAGTAATCTGGGAAATTGATATTCAGGAAGGCACACAATTAGTAATCTTTTACTTTGCAGAATTTCTCTTTGATGACAGTATATTAACATTTCCTTTCCCAGGCAGACTTCAAATGCAGCAGTTTTTAGCAGCAGCCTGCTGGATGCTTCTTCTTGGATCTACATGTGGTTATAAGAAAAGAAGCATCACAAATCCTGAAGCTAATATGAATATTGTAAGTTATTCATTAAGATGAACAAACAAATGAACTGCAAAAGCCATGTGGAGACCATGTCTGGCTTCCCCAGCTTCACAAGTGGGGAAGAGAATCAAATCAAAATCAGCCCAAGGCTGATTCCTCTGAAGTAGCAGTCAGACATGTTTCCACCCTGCAACCTTCTTTATCTTACTCTGACACCAACCATTCCTCCACAGCACTTTCTGCTTCACATCTGGGTTTGTCAATCCATTGCAATAGCCACACAGAACCCATAACAATAGTCACGATTATTGGGTTTGTTAGGGAAGTGAATAGGGCACAATTCAGGACCAGAAAAGATCAGGTCAGGACAGTTCTCCAGTCAAGAACACCTTGTCTGCCGTTACTGCAGGTACAACTCAGTCTTGACACCAACCACTCAGCCCTGTGGTCCCTTGGGCTCTGCCCTGCATAGGCAAGTGTTACCAAGCTCCTTTAAATGTCCAGCAAGCACATTCTGGAGGCCACCCTCCTGCCCAGGCACTCAGCTTTGCTCAGTCCATGGCCTAGATGCCTACAGTTGGTGCTCCATGTTGCCACCTTGCCACCTCTGCCTAGGTGTCACTAGTTTTCTAGGTAGGGATATCACATTCTATTCAGTTTCTTTTTTCTTGATGGTCCAGGGATTGTCTGTTGCTATTTCTGAGATGGCTCCTTTTAACCCTAGATGGATGGCAAAACTAACCATTCCCAACCAACTCAACGGCACTTGTAACAACAACACCACCAAATCACTTGGTGGGAATTAAGAAGATACTGGATAGAAAACTTCCATCAAATAATTCAAGTACCACACAAACAAGAAACGCAGGAAGAAAGTGGGATAAGTAGAGTTTCATTGAGGGGATTGCAGTCAGTGAGTCAGAATGAAGTGTCTATGATTTGATGAATGCCAAAACTGATGATCTGCCAAGCAAACCTTTACCCAATTCACAATAAAAAGTTACAAAAAGAAAGAAGAAAACATTAGTTTAAGGAATTATTAATTTATCATTATTTTACATACAACCTCATAAGCCTACATAGTTTTTTAATAATCTGTCCAGGGTCCAAGTATGTGCCTCCTCTCCAGTTCCCTGGCAGACTGAAAGATGTGATCAAGTTGGAGCAGTAATAGTCCGTCTCCTGGTGACTTGAGCAGTCATTTCATGGTGCACTGCTGAAGAGAGTTCATATTGATTATCTCTTCAGAGAAACCCTGGGTTCTTCCTAAGCCTTCTTCGAGAGCATTTGCTATGATTTTCAGAACTACATCAGTGTCCTTTTTTGCATTAGGAAGCCATCATTAATTTCTGGTGCATGTAACAAAAAGTATCTTATGCAGCAATTCATATTGAACAGGAAAAAGTAAAAATCATTCACTGCCCTCTCTGCCCAAGGAGGCAAACTAAAATGCTAATCAGGTTACTGAATGGGACCAATCTTCCTGGTTTCTCCCCTGCCCTCAGACTGGTATGCAGCCTGGCCCATGTTACTCTCCATTCTGGGTTCAGAATCTGGAGAAATTAGCTCCTCTGAGTCAGCCAGCTTAATAAAATCTGAAACTCTGCTTCACCTCTCCAAGTGGCCTCTGTTTCTTCAACCACGAATCTAAAACTGCTGTAACAATACTGTTACCCACAAAGCTCCAAAATAAACACCATACATAACTAAGAAAGAGGAAACCCCGCTCCTGGGACACATGGGACACCTGCAGCAAAGAGGGATGGTGTGGCGTGGTGACTGTATCTCACAAGCAATGTTGATACCTGTTTTAAACAATGTTCATCGTGACAACATTGGAACAGTGTATTGAAAGTACCATGGACCGCCAGAAGAACAAACAAATCTGTGTGGTCCTTGGAAGCCAAGATGACAAGACTTTGTTCCTCATTTCAGACATGTTATCAGGAGGGACCAGTTTCTAGAGAAGGACATTCTGCTTGGTAAAGTAGAGGGTCAGCAAAAAAGAGGAAGATCCACAATGAAATGAATTGACACAGTGGGGGCAGCAGCAAGGGGCTCCTGGGAAACAACTGTGAGGATGGACTAACTAGGCCTGGGCAGTGTTTTGTTCTATTGTGCTTAGGGTCACTTAGAGTCAGATCAGACTGGAAGGCACCTAACAGCAACAAATCAGCTTGCAGTTTAGCAGTAGCACCAATTCACAAGGTGATCTAATGTCCTGATCGACATATCAAAGAGTTAAGTCTCCAGGTGCCTGTTTTTCTGGGTGGTTACTCTTTCAGGCTCCGAAACCCTGTACAGGGTCGCTATGGGTCAGAACCAACTCGATGGCACTTAACAACAACTCTTTCAGCAGCCACAAGAAGAGGGAGCAGGCTTCATACCTAGTCTGCATTAAAATTCCAAAAACACTTACCTAAGAAAGAAGGACAGAAATGTGTGTGTGTGTGTGTGTGTGTGTGTGTGTGCGTGTGTGTGTGATGTTTCAGGCAATGCTGGATTGTTTTGCTAAATTCTCAAAATGGCGACACTCATGCTCTCAATACTAGAAGTGAAATGAGACGATGCTGGAAACAAATCCAAATGAGAAGTATTCACTGGAAGCTTCATTCCAATGGTAAGTGCTGTCGACTTGGGACTTGGATCAGACTCACAGTGACTCTGTATAGGGTTTCCAAGGAGCTTCTGGTTAGTTTGAATCACTAGTCTTGCAGTAAAAACAGACCTTGTGGTACAGTGCTTAGCCTACAGTGCCACACTAGGATTCCACCCACATCCAAACTTGTACAAGAGGGCTTCAAAGAGTTTGTGGAAAGTAGAATTGTAAGATAACGTAAATTTTCTACAAACTTTTTGAAGCCTTGTCCTACTAGAGCTTTAAGAAAAATGGAGATATCGTGATGATGGTTTGCCGCAGTGACAACAGCAATGGGCTCTAGCACACCAACAATTGTGAGGATAGCGCAGAACCAGACAGTGTTTTGCTCAGCTGTGCATAGGGTTGCTATGAGTTAAAACTGACTGCATGGCACTTAGCAACAACTTGTGTTTTATTGTTTCTTTGTGGTTCTCTTTCCCAAGTATTCAACAAGAATCTTTAACCTCTGGCCACTTTGTTGAACTCAGTCTATGAAGACAATATGTAGGTCTTGATGACACTTAACATTTATCTTTCTATAAGGACAATAAGAATAGCAGACGTTTACAGAACACTTACTTTGTTGCAGACCCTGTTCTAGATATTTACCAGAAATTCTATAAGGATATACTACTATGATCTCTATGTTAGGACTGAAACATAAAGCAGAGTCCAAGTTATATGACTAATAAGTAGAAGAGTTAAAATGAATGCCTTGCTGTTTGTCTCTAGAGTCTGGACTCTTAAGCTCCTAATATATACATGCACTTTGTGTGCACAACACGGACAAATGCAAAATCTTGTGGCAAGATCATAGACCTTTGACTTAAGTCACTTTGGCATTAATTCTATTTTAATCTCTTTCTAGTATACAATCTTGACAGATTATTACTCTTTCTGAACTTTCATATTCTCAACTGTTCTTGTTATTAAGTGCGGTCAAATCGGTTCTGACTCATAGCAATCATGTTTCTGAGAAGCAGCTGGTGGACTTGAACCATCAACCTTGTGGTTCAAATTGACCTTGCAGTCCAGTGCTTATCATACAGCACCACATCAGGACTCAAATGGGTACATTTCTATTTCAAAAGCCTGTTATAAGGATTAGTAAAACAGTTGGTGCAAACCATGTATGTTATAACTAATATGCACTAGTTATCCTCTTCTAAGACTCCTAGTGTGGTACTGTAGGATCAGCAATGGACTGGGAACCATGAAGCTGACAGTTCAAACCCACCAGCTGCTCCTCGGAAACCCTATACAGGGTTGCTATTAGTCAGAACTGACTTGACAGCACTTACCAACAGTACCAGTCCTCTCCTTGGGAGCTCTGGTGACACTGTAAGATAGACATTGGACTGCTAACTACAAGGTCAGCAGTTTAAACTCACCAGCCATTCTGCAGGATAAAGATGAGACTTTCTGCTCCCATAAATATTTATAACCTCGGAAACCCTATAGAGAGTAGCTAGGAGTTGGAACTGACTAGAGGACACCTACCAACACTTTCTTAGTATATCTGTGATGCAATATCTTCAGGTTACCCCTCTGGATCCACTGTCTAATTTTTTACACCCTTTTCTATGACAAGGAGGCTGACTTAGAAGAACTAGGCCAACAAGCGTCTGTGACCTTTGATTTTCAGTTCAGACAGTGGAAATCTTGAGCAAAGATTTGGTCAATAGGGAGGAAAATTAGGTCAAGCTATTCACTGCCTTGCTTCTCTCCCTGTGAGGTCAGTTTAAGGGGATTGAATCCCTGCACTGAATACAATAGCTGTTTTTAATGAGGCCATCTCTACTTGATCTTCTTCTGACTCTGATAACTGCTTCTACCCATCTCCCTTCAGATTTAAGGTCCACAACAGTTGACTAACTACAGGTCATTGCATCATCCCTTGTGGTTTTCCTTATTGGATGAATAGAATGCTTTTGTAAAAATATTTTTATAGTGAACCAGGACAATTAATAACAAATACCAGGTCAACAGGCATAAACCGGGGAAGGTGGTGAGCAAACCAGAATGTTTGGTTGCTCCTCCCTGCTTTACTCATGTCTTTGCATACAGTTCCTTCTAGAAAACCTCCTCAAATTATTCTAATTTTTTCTTTCTGTGTGCTGTTCCAGTATATAAACAGATGAGCAGTATGTTGCAACTTCAAGTTCTGTATATTGCATTGTTGTTGTTGTTAAGTGCTGTCAAGTCAGTTCCGACCCATAATGACCTTGTGTAGAGTTTCTGAGGAGCAGCTGGTGAGCTGAACCACCAACCTTGCAGTTCAATTGGCTTTGCAGTCTGACGCATTAACCCACAGTGCCTCACCAGGACTCCATATATTGCATTGCATATGTAAAAATTAAGGGGTTACAAGATTTAGGGGTACAGGTATATTTTTCTTTCCTCTTTTCAGAGTCAGATTATTTCCTACTGGGGCTACCCTTGTGAAAAGTATGATGTCGTGACTAAAGATGGTTACATCCTTGGAATCTACAGAATCCCTCATGGAAGACAATGCCCAAGTGGAACAGGTAGGATTGATTTAGGCATGAAAGGATGTCAAACTCACCAGGCTTTTTGTAGAATGATGAGGTTATCTTTTCCTGTAAAGAGTACAGACTTGGAAACCCTACGATGGGTTGCTTTGAGTCAGAAGCAACTCAATGCTAGTGGGTTTAGTGTTGCTCTAATTCTAGACTGGGAATAAGATTTTTATATTATATTAGCAATGTTATGAGAAATCCTGGTGGTTCTGTCGGATAAGCATTGGGCTGCTAACCATAAGGACAGCAATTCAAACTCAGCAATTGCTCTGCAGAAGAAACATGATGCTTTATGCTCCTGTAAAGATCATAGTCTCAGAAACCCTATACAGGGTTGTTAGGAGATGCAATTGACTCAGTGGCAGTGGATTTATTAATTATGTTACATTATGTGAAATTCCACTTGTAGTCATGTATTTTATTTTCTCACAATGCAAGTTCAATGAAAATATATGTGCAAAATCTAACAGTGCCTGGTGTTCAGTAAACATTCAACAAACTATATTTTTATTATTGGTTTTGTTGTTTTACAAAAGTTAAAACTTTTTTATGATTTGAATTTTTGTGCTCAGAAGCTTCTTGAGTTATAAAATGTTATTTATAGAAATAATTATAATAATGGTAGAGTTAATAGTTATTTCACTACACAACTGTTTAGCTATTTAATTCTCATTTAATTCTAACAAGTACACTACGAGATAGCCTCTGTTATTATTCCCCATTACACAGGTAAGTTAACTGGGGAACAAAGAGGTTAATATGTAATAGAGTGAATTATAAACAGCCCAATCTGATTCCAGTCTTTAACCATTTAAAAATGGAAAGCAATATATAAAGAAGATAAAAAAATTTTTTCCTGAGTAGTTCAGAAGTGACTATAACCTAGGTTTGCCTGGCTTGGAATTTTACCTCTCTTCTCTGCTGCAGGAAGTGAGGAAAGAGAATTTGTGTAGACACTAAGGAAGTTGAGACATGACATTCTTGTTGTCTGTGTTTTGCAGCTCCAAAACCTGTTGTGTATTTGCAGCATGGGTTACTTGCATCTGCCAGCAACTGGATTTGCAACCTACCCAACAATAGCTTGGCCTTCCTTCTGGCAGATCATGGTTATGATGTGTGGATGGGAAACAGCCGGGGAAACACCTGCTCCAGAAAACACTTGAAATTGTCAACCAAATCAACAGAGTATTGGGCGTTCAGGTGAGGAGATATTTCCTAATGAATAAAGTGTGTATGGTATTCATTTGCATGTGGGAAAACCCTCTGATTTTTTTCTGGACAGAAACGTACCTAATGGGAACCAGGAGACAGAAGCAAAGGAATCACTGCTTCTAGCCATGGTTTCTCCACAGACTCGGAGACGTGTCTTAAGACCTTTATTATTATGTTGCTGATTGCTTTCATATCCTTGCTACCTGATGTGTATGTGTGTTTCAGAGAAAAAACTTTTGAACAGGACAAAGATAAGACAAAGTTAAATCATCTGGATGAGGGAGGCCATTATTATTGGGATGTAGGGGGTCCTGGACACTGTAATGCTGGGTCTTATCTTTGCGGACCTCAAAGAGAGGTGACCCAATGGAATGCAGAAACCATCGTACAATCTCTTTGATATCCCACGCGAGTAAAGTTTTACTAAAGGCAATACAGAAACGGCTACAAGCATACATTGACAGAGAACTTCCAGAGGTTCAATCCAAATTCAGAAGAGGACACGGAATGAGAGATATCATTGCTGATGTCCAATGGATCTTGGCTGAAAGCAGAGAATACAAGAAAGATGTTTATCTGTGCTTTATTGACTACGCAAAGGCTTCTGATTGTGTGGATCATGATAAGCTATGGACAACATTGCAAACTATGAGTATTCCTGAGCACTTAATTGTGCTCATGGGGAATCTGTACATGGACAAAGAGACTGTTCTTTGAACAGAACGTGGGAACAAAGAATGGGATGTATTCTTTCACCATACTTATTCAACCTGTATGCTGAGCAAGTGATCTGAGAAGCTGGATTCTATGAAGAAAAACGTGGCATCAAGATAGGAGGAAGACTCATTAACAACCTGCGATATACAGATAATACAACCTTGCTTGCTGAAAGTTAAGAAGACTTAAAATATTTACTGATTAAGATCAAAGAGCACAGTCTTCAGTATGGATTGCATCTCAATGTCAAGAAAACAAAAGTCCTCACCACTGGACCAATAAACAACATTCTTATCAATGGAGAAAAGATTGAAGTTGTCAAGGACTTCATTCTTCTTGGATGAACTATCAACACTCATGGAAACAGCAGTCAAGAAATCAAAGGACATATTGCATTAGGCAAATTTGCTGCACAAGATCTTTTTAAAGTATTGAAGACCAAAGATGTCAGCTTAAGTACTATGGTGCACCTGACCCAGACCATGGTGTTTTCAATAACCTCATATGCATGTGAAAGCTGGACAGTAAATAAAGAAGACCTTAGAAGAATTGATGCTTTTGAGTTATAGTGTTGGAGGAGAATATTGAAAGTGCCATGGGCTTCCAAAAGAACAAACAGATCTGTGTTGGACGAAGTGCAGCCAGAGTGCTCCTTGGAGGCCAAGATGGCCAAATTTCATCTTTCATACTTCAGACATATTGTCAGGAGGGACCAGTCGCTGGAGAAGGATATCATATTTGGTAAGGTGGAGGGTCAGGGAAAAAGAGGAAGACTCCCGATGAGATGGATTGGCCAAGTGGCAGCATCGATGGACTCAATCAAGTGTGGCAACAATAGTGAGGTTGGCCCAGGATTGGGCAGTGTTTCCTTCTGCTGTGCAAAAGGTCACTATGAGTCAGTACCTACTCGATGGCAGCTAACAACAACAACAACATCTTTGCGGACTATGAATGATTGTACTAGACAGAGAGTTTCATGCACACAAAAAAGCTTTAAGATTCGTTGTGAGGAAAGATCCGGCTAGAGGGGATGGGGCGGGATCTAAGCAACATTACATCCGCCCCAGAGTCTTTGTTTGGTTTGGAGTCATTAAAAGATTCTTGGGCAAGGAAGTCAGGAAAGACACTCACGCTTATTTATTATTTTTCTTGGAAAACTAAATGCAAGGAAGTGGTGAGGTTAGGAAACTGAGGTGTGTGATGTAAGAGTTCAGAATGGAGTTAATACCCTTCAAGCTAGAGTCGCCTATAAAGGCGTCTGGGAGGCACTTGTTAAATGTCCTCGAGTGAGTTTCAATCCATAGCGTCCCTTTATAGGGTTGGAGACACTGCATTTGCTTCAAGGACTGGTCTACAACTGGTCACTCCTGAAAGACACTTCTGAGGAGGTTTGTCAGGCCCATAAAGCATGAGACCCATTGGATAGAGAGAGAGTGTTACTGCTCAACAGTGCACACTAACACATCCTACACATCTTCATGATTGCTTGGGGCGGGAGGGGCGGTGGGGTAGACAGCCTGCAGCATTTACTCAGTAAATGGCCCAGGCTTCAATTCTGCTTTATGAACCCTCCCCCTTTTCTCTGTCTCATTCCCCAGCTGAGAAATTTCATGCTCATAATTCTTTATGGGAACATGAACAGAAGTCTCTGTTTCTTTAACCAATCAAGCTGAATAGGGTTCTATACCCTGCCTGACAGTCAGAATCTTTTGCTGACTACTTCAGAGATGTATGGGGTCCAGTGAGTTTCTGAGGTAGAATGGACCTAAATCTTTGCATTAGTATATGCTTAACTTGGAACTGCAGCAGCCTTGTGAATATAGACTTAACCTAGAGCTTAAGTAAGCAGAGACCAAAATTTAAAAAGCAAGAGGATCACTGCTAGGATTACCCATCATGGGAAAGAACCAGTTGAGTCAGGATGTTGTTGTTGTTGTTAAGTACTGTGGAGTCAGTTCCAACTCATAGCGACCCTATACAGGGTTTCCGAGGCTGCAAATCTTTATAGCGGAAAGCCTCATCTTTCTCCTGTGGAACAGCTGGTAGTTTCGAACTGCCAACCTTGAGATTAGCAGCCCGATTCATAACCATTATGCTATCAGAGCTCCTTGAGTGAGGATGTTGTTATTGTTGTTTTTATGTGCCGTGGAGTCGGTTCCAACTCATAGCAACCCTGTAGAGGGTTTCTGAGGCTGTAAATCTTTATGGGAGCAGAAAGCCTCATTTTTTTCCCGCAGAGCAGCTAGTAGTTTCGAATTGCTGTCCCTGAGGTTCACAGCCCAATTTGTAACCACTATGCTACCAGAGAGGTAGCCTTTAATCTGGTCCCAAATAAAAGTGGTCCATTGGCTTCTATTCTCTCTTAACCACTTAGCTTTATCTAGGAGGCTCTTAGCTGAAGTTCAGCTTCACCTGTGGACATAATCTAAAAGCAGCAGGAAGTATTTGTGACCATGCAGACTCCTCCCTATTTAGCTAGAAGATGATCTAAGGCCAGACAGTTAGTTATATAGTACCATACTAGGCCCTGTCAGCTACTTCTTCTGGGATGGCTGAAATATTTTTGGCTCTGTGTGTGTGTGTTGTAGACCACTGGGTTGTTAAGGGCCTTCAAATTGATTCCATCTCATAGAGAGACCTTGTGTGAATTTGAACCACCCACCTTGCTGTTCAAACTGAACTTGCGGTCCTGCCTTTATCCTACAATGCCATAGCAGGACTCCAGTAATGTGGGCAGGAACTCGTAATGCTAATAGGGCAATAGGAGTCCTTTGCTGTTTACTAGAGACACTAGAGATGATCTCCTGAACAGACACAGGATTTAGTTCAGTGAACAATTTGTTCAGTTTGTCATCTTGTCTTGTGGGTATTAAATACCTAGAGTGCAAGTGGTCATTACACTGTTCTGATGTAGACATGTCAGGGCCAATAAGGAGTTATCAGGGTTCCAGGAACAAACAGACCATAGTCCATGAGAGGCAGAGTTTTCTTGTTCTCCTGTCCAGTCTCCTAAGGCAAAGACGTTAATTCAGGGGAAGTTCCCTGGGAAGGGTCGTGGTGTCCCCAAAGGAAACCAGTCAGTGTAACCCACTATTCAATGCTTTGAAGTTTATGGACAACTTCTTGGTTAAGTGGCCCCCTAAGGGAAAGCCCCACCTGCTGTTCATATCAGGTAGTCTTATACCCAGGAAGTGTACCCCAACTGCCCAACCTTCATATTGTCCCCAAATATCAGTCAAACTTTTCATAAACTAGGACTTTTTAGGAGTGCAGTGAAAGGCAACATGGGGGTGCTTTTCACAGAATCCCATCTAGGAGGTTCATTCTAATAGTTTCCTAGTCCCACTGTTGTTGTTGTTAAGTACTGTTGTTGAGTTGGTTCCTACCCATAGTGACCCTGTATAGGATTTCTATGGACCTGCTAGTGAGCTCGAACCACTGACCTTATGGTTCAAACAGAATTTGCAGTCCAGCACATTAACCGGCGGCATTACGTCAGGACTCTGGTTTCCTGTTTAGGTTTGCTGTATCAATAGGCACAATATTTTTTCAACTGGCTAGGAGTCCCCAAAACAAGAAGCCACTCCAAATGGGACAGCCCTATGCTAAGTACTACTCATATCCACCAGGGAATACACAGTGACAGCTCAATGCCCCAAACAAGAATAATCTTTCCCCATCTGAGACTTATTTGTAATTCACTTATCCCAAACTGTAAACAAAAGACACTTCTCCAACTACTCGGGCTGTCACCACTGATCCCCTGGCAATGAAAGATTTTAGTTTCTTGAAAAGTCTCTTTTAATCAAGGTGACATGCTCACAGGGTGTCGGTGTGCATAGACTCATAGAATTGGATATTTAGACTCTAATTTTACATTTAGTTAAAAGTTAAATTTCTATATCTGGGAAGTATCTATGAATGTGTTTATAGACTGCAGTCTTAACAAGGAGATAAAGTCCTAGGGTAATGCAGATGGTTAAGCACTGGACTATTGGCCAACAGACTGGTAGTTCAAACCACTGCGAGATGCCATGGATGAAAGCTCTGGTGATCTGCTTGTGTAAGATCACAGACTTGAGCATCCTTTAGAATAGAGTTCTACGCTGTCACATATGCAATCACCACGAGTTGGAATCTGCTCAATGCAACTGGTTTGGTTTGGTTTGAACAATGACATGCTTTTTTCAAATTTTGTTGTTTCTTCTTATTGGCAGCTTGGATGAGATGGCTAAATATGACCTTCCAGCCACACTCAATTTCATCACAGAGAAAACTGGACAGGAGCAACTCTTCTATGTGGGTCACTCCCAAGGCACTACCATAGGTGCGTTTAGGGCACATTTGATATAAAACATGTTAGGAGCTCTTCTTCCAAATCATGGGAGGGGTCAGGATGTCTTCTCTTCGTGCAGTTTCTAATTTGGGGACTTAAATTGGGAAGTAATTTCCACTGACTAGTTTCTGAAGAGTGAAAACGAAATTGACTGTAAGGATTTCCCCCCATTTTCCTCCTTCTGCACTGTATTTGGAGGGTGATACATAAGTATGAAGTAGAGAAAATAATTCAGTTAGTAATTTGTGTACCTAGATTCTAGGAAGCAGAGATAAAATACTCTATGTGCTCTGAACTAACAAGGCTCACACTCTAGCAACAGACACCAAATAAAAAGCAGAGAATTACCTTGTTCAGTGATTAGATGCTACAATCAGTGTGACTTTTCATTGCCAGGGTAACACTGGGGTAGACAAGATGTGGGTGGGGCATATTGGCTGTGCCATGAAGTACCTTACTCCCCTCACTGCTCTCTCTTGGACTAGAGGCCCCTCCTACAATTCCAACAGCATTTCTCCCAACCTCTTTTCTATTGGTTTTATCTTAATCAGATTTCTGGTGGAAAGTAGGTCTTTACATGGATACTCTTGTACTGCCCTAGGCATTATTCATGCATTTTATAACTGTAAACCACCAACATTTGAAACCATTAACACCCATATTTTACAAATGGCTAAATCTAGGGAACTTTTCTAATGATGATGATTCCAAGTAGAACATTAAGTGGTGCTGGTGGCTGTGGCTGTATGCCATGGAGTTGGTCCTGACTCATAGTGACCCCATGGAGTGTTTCCAAGCCTGTAAGACTCATCTGTGAGCCTCCGTCACTCATCACTAGTCCGTCAGTTTGTCATACTCTGGTGATTTGCATGTTTTTGTGATGCTGGAAGCTATGCCAGGAGTATTTTAAATACCAGAAGGGTCACCCATGGTGGGCAGGTTTCAGCTGAGCTTGAAGACAAAGACAGACTAGGAAGAAGGAGAGATGGACTATTTCTGAATATTTAGTCACTGAAAACTTTATGAGTAGCAGTGAGACGCTGTCAGCACCAGAATACTGAATGAGCACCAGAATATTGTCAGACATAGTGCAGGAAGATGAGCCTCACAAAATATGACTGGGGAAGAGCTGCCTCCTCAAAGTAGAGTTGACAGTGATGATGTGAATGTTGTACAGCCTTCATTTGCTGATGGGGCACAACTCAAAATAAAGAGAAACAGCTGTCAACATTCTTAATAATCAGCACATGGGATGTACAAAGTATGAATCTAGGGAAACTGGTCTCTCTGTATATATGTTTACTTAATTGTCATAGAATCCTATAAGGATGTGATTACTCAGATTTACAAACTGAGGAAGTTACGAACATAAAGAAGAAATAAGTTGCCCAAGTTCTCACACAATTTGTGAGTAGGAAGCCAATGCTACAGCTCAGTTTTCTGTTGTTAAAGTCTGTCATCAGAGTATACTGGTCATTGGAGTATATCAAGATATGTTCAACAGTGAACGTTTGGTGGACCATACACTCTGCAGGGATAAGAAATTCATTTCATTTTCATAATCAATGTCATCCTTGGGAAACCCAAAAAACCTTTCCCTGTCAATGGTACTGACCATTTGTTTTTGTTTTTATCAGTTGTTTTACAGTCATGGGAGTTCTTTCTTATTTGTTTCTTTTTTTCTTAATTAGGCTACTTTTACTACCTTTTAAGATAGATAAATAAATGTTTTTTTTAGTATATGAAGTACTCTCTTATTCCTTTTCAGGTTTCATAGCATTCTCTACAAATCCAGAATTGGCTAAGAAGATCAAGATCTTTTTTGCATTAGCTCCAGTAGTCACAGTGAATTACACTCAAAGTCCCATGAAAAGATTCACAACTCTTTCTAGGCAGGTAGTCAAGGTATGTGACTTCCCATGTTTAAACCTGTATTAACTAAAATGAGCTCTATTTCTATTGATTTCAAGACCAGAGAATCTGAAACAAATGACACTTTATAAATTTCTGAGACTATGATAGATTCTCAAGATTTACTGACAATGTTGTTATTGTTGTTAAGTGTCATTGAGTCGGTTCAGACCGATAGGAACCCTGTATAGGGTTACTGAGGAGCAGCTGGTGAGCTTGAAACACTGACCTTGTGGTTCAAACCTACTTTGCGGTACAGCGCCACACCAGGACAGTATTACTGCTTCATTGCTGCTATTGCTAACAGCAACAAGGGAGCTCACTACAGTTCATTCTACCCCATTGTTTTCATTTAATGCTAGAAGCTTTTCTCCCATCTCATACCTTAATAGCAGTTAAAACAGATCTGATTTGACTGGAGAATTAAATATTGAATCCAGTAGGTTAAATCTGTCTTTGACATTCCTTATTTTCAGGGGTGAGTCTTCAGAATCAACTTAAAGGTAGTGATTTGGTTTATATAGTGTAGTAGATGATATCATGGCATAGAGGCATAGAAACAGGTGGTTGGTGCAGACGTAAATTCTTGTTGTTAGCTGCTGTTGAGTCGGTTCCAACTCATAGGGACCTTGTGTTGTTTATAGCTTGTCATGATCCACACAATTGAAAGCCTTTGCATAGTCAATAAAGCAAGGTAAACATCTTTCTGAACTCCTGGTGTGGTGCTGTAGGATCAGCACTGGACTGCAAACCACGAGATCAGTAGTTCAGACCCACCAGCTGCTCTTTGGAAATCCTATATAGGGTCGCTGTGAGTCAGAACCAACTTGATGGCACTTAGCAATAACAACGACAACATCTTTCTGGTATTTTCTACTTTCAGTGAAGATCCATCTGATGTCAGCAATGATATCCCTCGATCCACATTCTCATTTGACTCTTGCTTGAACCTCTGCAGTTCCCTGTCAATGTACTGTTGCAGCCATTTTTGAATTGTTGTTGTTAAGTGCCATCAAGTTGGTTCCTATTCACAGTGTCCCTTTATAGAATTTCCAAGGAGCTACTGATGAGTTTAACTTTGTGGTTCAAACTGACCTTCAAAAAGAACCTATATGGTCGAGTGCTTATCCAATAGCGCCACACCAAAATTTTATTTGCATCTGATATTAAAGGTATTATCTGATTATTTCTGCATTCTGTTGGGTCATTTCACAAATATAAATCTCTTCCAATCTTTTGGCTAGGTAGCTGTCTTCCAAATTTCTTGGCATAGATGAGTGAGCATCAGTTTGTTGAAAGATTTCAATTTGTATTCCATCAATTCCTGGAACCTTGTTCTTTGCCAATGACTTCAATGCACCTTGAGACTTCTTCCTTCAGTATGATTGGCTTTTGTTCATATGCTATCTCTTTAAATGGTTGAGCATTTACCATTTGTTTCTGATGCAGTGACTCTATTTATTTTGAATCCTAGTTCTATGATTTGCTAGATGAGTAAATTCGGGCAAGACCTTAGTCTCTTTGTGAACATTTTCTTCATCTGTAAGATAGGATAATAATTATCACTAATTCTGAGGCACACTGTGATGATTAAATGAGTTAATGCAAACAAAATTTTTAGGACCATGCCTTGTGCATTTTAAGCTTTTAATGATTGTCAGCTATTGTTATTGTCCATCACAGTTTGTCAATTTGTTGAACTGAAGAAGTGCTGTGAGAATGCTCATTAGAAGCCAGGATGGTAAGACTTCATTTTGCATACTTCAGATATGCTATCAGAAGGGACAAGTGCCCTGGAGAAGGACATCATGCTTAGTAAAAATGTAAGGTCAGCTAAAAAGAGGGAGACGCCCATAGAGATGTACTGACATTGTGGTAGCAGCAATGGGCTCAAAGTAACAATTATGAAGATGGAGCAGGAATGGGTGGTGTTTTGTTGCATAGGGTAGCTGTAGTTAGAATTAACTCAATAGAGCCTAACAACACCACCATAAGGAAGATCAGTTAATATGACTACTATTCAAATTTACATATGAACTACTAAAGCTAATGATGAGAAAATTGAAGAATTCTACCAACTTCTTCAGTGTGATACTGTTCAAACATTCAGTCAAGATGCATTGATAATTACTGGTGATTGGAAAGCAAAAGTTGTAAACTAAGAGGAGGTATTGTTGTTTTGTTGTGAAGTGCTGTTGAGTCAGTTCCCACCCATAGCGACTCTGTATAGGGTTTCTGAGGAGAAATTGGTGAGCTTGAACCACCGACCTTGCAGTTCAAATGGCTTTGCAGTCTGGTGCATTAACCCACAGCACCACACTAGGACATTAGTAGTGGGAAAATATGGCCTTAGTTATAGAAATGACCCTGGAGATCGTATGGTAGAATTTGGTTTAAGACCAATGACTTATACATTGCAATACCTTTTTCCAACAACATAATAGGAAACATATATATGGACCTCACCAGATGGAACATATAGGAATGAAATCTACTACATCCATACACATCCATGGAAAGAGATCTGGAGAAGCTCAATATCACCAGCCAAAGACCAGGGGCTAACTGTGGAAGAGATCATCAATTGCTCATATGCAAGTTCAGGCTGAAGTTGAAAAGATTAAAACAATTCTATGAGAGCCAGAATATGAATTTAAATACATCCCACCTAAAGTTAGAGACCATCTCGAGAATAGATTTGATACTAGTGACCTAAGACCAGAGAAGTTGTGGTATGAAATCAAGAACATCATATATGAATAAAGCAAAAGCTTGTTAAAAAGACAGGAAATAAAGAAAAGACCAAAATGGATGTCAGAAGAAACTCTGAAACTTCCTCTTTAATGTAGAGAAGCTAAAACAACTGGAAGAAATACTGCAATAAAAGACTCCCGTAGAAAATTTGAAAGGACAGCTTAGAAGACAAATTAAAGTACTAAAATGAAATATGAAAAGATCTGGAGTTGGAAAACCAAAATGACAGAACATGCTTAGCATTTCTCAAACTGAAAGAACTAAAGAAGAAATTCAGGCCTTGAGTTGCAATATTGAAGAATTCTATGAGCAAAATATTGAATGACGCAGAAGCATCAAAAGTAGATGGAAGGAATACACAATCAGTGTACCAATAATAAATAGTTGATATTTAACTATTTCAGGAGGTACCATATGATCAAGAATCAATAGTATTGAAGAAGCTGCACTCAAGGCATTGGCAAAAAACAAAGCTCTAGGAAGTGAAAACTGAACTATTTCAACAAGCTGACGGTAGTACTGGAGGTTGTCCTCACTTGTCTATACTGAGATAGTGGGTAGACAGTTAACTGGCCAACCAATTGGAAAACATCCACAATTGTGCCCACTCTACAAAAAGATGATCCAATGCGATGTGGAAATCATCAAACAATATCATAATTATTGCATGGAAGTAAAACTTTGATGAAGATAATTCAAAAAAGTTGCAGCAGTACATCAGCAGAGAGCTGCCAGAAATTCAAGCAGGATTCGGAAGAGGAAGTGGAACCAGGGATATCATTGCTGATGTCAGATGGATCATTGCTGAAAGCAGAGAGTAACACAAAGATGTTTTCTTGACTATGCAAAGACATCTTTGCATAGTCATGACTATATGGATCATAAAAAAATCATGACTAATATTGAAAACAATGGTAATTTCAGAAAATTTAACCATACTCAAGAGAATCTTTTCTTTATTTCCTGTCTTTTAAACAATCTTTTGCTTAATTCATATTGATGTTCTTGATTCATACTCAAGAAACATTCATTCAGACAGAACAAGGGGATGCTGAATGATTTTAAATCATGAGAGGTGTGCACTAGGGTTGTATCTGTCACCACCATACTTACTCACTTTGTATGCTGAACAAATAATCTGTGAAGCTGGATTTTGTGAAGAAGAACATAGCTTCAGGATTTGAGGAAAACTCATCAAAAGCCTGTTCTGATGACACAGCCTTGATTGTTGGAAGTGTGGTGGTGGTGGTGGTTATGTGCCATGGAGTCGGTACAGGGTTTTTGAGGCTGTAAGCTTTACCGGAGCAGAAAGCCTCATCTTTCTCCTGTGGAACAACTGGTGGTTTCAAACTGCTGAATTTATGGTTTGATTTGTAACCAGCCTGATTCATAACCACTACACTACCAGAGCTCCTTTGTTGGAAGTGTAAATGATTTGAAAATTGATGAAGATCAGAGAATATAACCTTCACTATGGATTGCATTTCAATGTAAAGAAAATAAAAATCCTCACAACTGGGCCAATAAATCACATCATGATAAATGGAGAAAAGACTGAAGTTGTCAAAGACTTCATTTTGCTTGGATCCATGATCAACACTCATTGCAATAGCAGTTAAGAAATCAAATGATTTATTGCATTAGGCAAATCTGTTACAAAAGACCTCTTTACAGAAGATCAGGACTAAGCTGTTTCTGATCCAAGCCATAGTATTTTCAATCACCTCACATACATGTGAAAATTGGACTATGAATAAGGAAGACCATAGAAGAATCAATGCATCTGAACTATAGTGTTGGCAAAGAATATTGAAAGTACCATAGATAGTATTGCAAATAATAAGAATAAACAAGTCTGTGTTGGAAGAAGTACAGCTGGAATGCTCCTTAGAAGCCAGGATGGTGATACTTTGTCTCTCACACTTTGGACCTGTTGTCAGTAGAGGCCAGTTTTTGGAGAAGGACATTATGCTTGGTAAAGTGGAGGGTCAGAGAAAAAGATGAGGCCCTCAAAGAGGTGGACTGACACAGTGGTAGCAGAAATGGCCTCAAACGTTGATTGTTGGAAGTGTCGAGGACTTGAAATACTGATGAAATACAATTGTGAGAATGATGCAGAACTGGACAGTCTTTTTTTCTTTCTGTTGTGCATAGTGTCACTATGAGTTGGAACTGACTCAACGGCACCTAGTCACAACAACATTACTACTGCTGTCATTTTCATCGAACATACGCTACCCCATCTTTCAAAGCCCCACCATGCTCAATTGCCTGCCACTTCCTTGGCTTTCTTTCAACTTCCCAAAACATAGGCAACACCTCAGGCCCTGCATTCTCTATGCTAGATGATAGCTAACCAATCTGATAATTTACTACCTCGTGGAGATGAATTGATGCACTATGTTGTGGCTTGATATGTTTTATTATTACATTTTACAGTGGGCTTTCCCTATGAGAGAATGATAGCAATTGTATTCTGCAATGAGAGCAGATAAAAGTGAAATCATTCTTACCAAGTAGCCTGGAGGTGAGAACTGAGCAAATTGGTCCATGGTGATTGAATCCACACCCATACAACCAGCGATGGCAGGTGCAAAAAAGCTGCTCCAACAAGGCAGGAAATGTTTACAATTTCAGCAATGTTGGAGGCTAGTTTTTAGACTCAAACTCTCTTGTATCATGGTTTTTTTTGTTGTTGTTGTTGCTTTGTTTTGTTTTAATTTATGTATATGTAGTCTAACCTTGGGGTTCTCGTGTGGCACTGAATGATGCAGAAGCACTTGACTGCTAGCTACAACATAGGTGGTTTAAGCCCACCAGCCACTTCTTGGGAACCCTATGCAAGGTCGCCATGAGTTGAAACAGACTGGACAGCACCAAGCAACAATAGCAAGTGTAGCCATGACACTCTTGTCCTCCTTGGTTGCCAGTCTGTCCTTGCTTACACAAAATTAGATAAATGACATTGTATATGTTGCAAAAATCCTTCCAGCTTTCCTGCACAGCTAAGAAGGACTTTGTTATTGTTGTTGTTATTAGTTGTCATTGAGTCAGCTCTGATTCATTGTGACCCTATGCACAACAGAATGAAATACTACCTGGTCCTGAGCAAGTCTCATACTTATTCTGTTTGAGCCCATTGTTGCAGCCACTGTGTCAATTCATCTAATTGGGGGTCTTGCTCGTTTTCATTGACTCTCTACTTTCCCAAGCATGATGTACTTTTCCAGGGCCTGCTCCCTCTTGATAATATGCTCAAAGTACAAAAGATGAAGTATCACTATCCTAACTTCTAAGGATTTAGGATGCAATATTTTTATTCCCTTCGCCCTTCCATATGTTCTGACATACCTGAGGTATAATTCAGTTGAATTCAATTCAGTTAAGCAAATCAATAATGAAGAGCTACAATGATACAAACCTAGAATCAGGAAGCAGTTTTGCTATAACCTTGTATAACTAAAATTCAGAATGCCTGTAAGAGTATTGGGAAATTTGACTAAGAAGAGAAGCAGGGAAAATTTAATGGAGGAAGCAAAGATATCAGGTTGAGGACCAAGGTACACCTGACCCAAGCCATGGTATTTTCAATAGCCTCACATGCATGTGAAAGGTGGACAGTGAGCAAGGAAGACCTTGGAAAGAAGAATTGATGCATTCGAGTTACGATGTCAAGAGAACTGACTCATGGCAACCCTATGTGTAACAGAGTAGAACCACTCCAAACACAATTGTCTCCATTGCAATGTTTACAGAAGCAAATTGCCAGGCCGTATCTACAGGGCTCCACAGGGTGATTTCAAATGCCAAGATTTTGATCAGTGACCAAGCACAACACTACCAAGGCACATTTTACAATTTGGTTACTGGGTTAAAGAAATGATTCAGATGCCCAAATGATTGCAGAAAAATGAAGAGTTCAGCAGAAAGAATTAGATGATGAATGGTGTCTGCAGAGGTTAATTATTTAGCAATTTGAAACAGTCTACCCAAGGAGAGGTGCAAGAGAAGGAACTAGAATTTTTAAAGGAACAGAGAAGTATTATTTAAACCAGTGTAGCATACTGTATTGTCTCTTCTCTCTCAATCTCTATCAGTTTCACAAGTATATCATATATTCCATTCCATTAATATTCCATGGAGTAGCAAAAATATTCCATTATATGAAGATTATTATTGAACATATACAATAACCATTTCTTTTTCAAACTCATAATTCTGAAAATTGTGTCCAATAAGAATGTACTGGATATTGTAATACATTAGTGCATTACCAATAAATACTAATAATCAATGTATTTTAGTTATAATCACTGCTGATAAAGAATCCTAGAAAAAAAGTTTTTAATATAAATTCATGTTTCCAAAAGTTTCAAGAATGGGATTTTTTTTTTTCTCTCTCCCCTGTGTCTCTGTAGAAGTAGTGGACTGCAAAGTGGGTTTGAACCACAAGATCAGCAGTTCAAACTCACTTGCTGCTCCTCAGAAACACTATACAGGGTGGCTATAAGTTGGAACCAACTAGATGGAACTTAACAACAACAATATTACAAAATTAATTATTGTAATATAAAGCAAGACTGGATTTATATTTATAAATAGGGATTGTATGCTAGTTTATAATTTAATTTTTAGGAACTCTATATTTCAAAAGATAAGTTCAACTTTTCACCAGCAGAGATTCATCTTAGAGTTAAGCTTATTAAATAACTGAGTTTATTGATAGATTCTAGAAGAAAGCTCATTAAGTCTCTAATCAGTCATTTATTATAATAATAATGTATTTACAATGTTTACAAGAGGCTAGAAACTGTACTTGGTGCTTTTTAAAACATGACCTATTCTTTCCAAGTATCCCTACTAGAAGATATCAGTTTTTCCATAGAATAGTTGAAAACATTCAGGGTAAAAAAATTAAGCTATTTCTTTTCTTCTTCTTCTACTCCTCCTTCTTCTTCTTTTACATCAGTTTTACTATGAATTAGGTGAAGGTTTACAGAGTTAATCAATTTTCTGTTAAAAATGTCACACACATTTTGTTTCATGTCATGTTTTGCAATCCCTGTGATATTTCATTTATCCCACTTCCTCCTTGTGTTTTCTGTTTCCATTTCTTCTTCTTTCCTAACCCTTCCTGCCTGCTGAACTTTGTCCTTGGGCAAATGCTGCCCTTTTAATCTCAAATAGTTGATTATTCTAAGGTATGCATACTTTCCTAATATTATTGTTCCCTTATAGGCCTGTCTTGTTTGGCTGAAAGTTGAGCCATTGGGGTGAGTTCAATTCTAGGCCTGAAGTGTGACTAAGGGCTATATAGCCTACTGATCTCTATCCAACAAGTATGCCTGGTATTTTTTTATGGTATTTAGTCTTGTTCCACATGCTACATCCATCTATCAGGACCTCCTATTGTGATCCATTTCAGAACAGTTGGTAATGGTAGTTGGGCACCATCTATAATGATGAGTCAAAAATTATCTGTACTATGGCTATAGAATTTATTTTAATCAACTTTTAGAAAAGACAAATACCTCATTTTTCGACATAATCTCCTTGGTTTTCAATACACTTTGCCCATCCATCAATAAGCTTTTGTATTCCCTTATTTAAAAATGTTTTAGGCTGAGCTGTAGCCATGAATGCACTGCTGCCTTCACGTCTTTATCAGAAATGAACCTTCATTGTCAAAGGGTTGCTTCTAGGGGACCAAACAGCTGAAAGTTCTATGGAGCAAAATCAGAGGGAGGATACCTGAACACCTCAAAACAAAGTTTTTGGAGATTGTCAACAGTATCGTCAGAGGTGTGCAGATATGCATTGTTATGCAAAGTTGCAATACCTTTGAATAGCAGTGCTCTGTGTTTAATGTGAAATTTAGGTGTTAGCTCTTCAGTGAGCATCTCACTATAATGAGTACTGTTGATTGCTGAATGTTTTTCTGATAGCGTTCTAATTCTGGCTCTTGAGAATCTCAGAAAACTATAAGCATCAATTTTCCAGCTGATGGTTGGCTTTGAACTTTTTCATGGTTGGCAATTGAGAGTGTTTCCATTCCATCAGCTTGAAAATTGATCCATGCAGTATATCTAGCTCCAAAGCCTTACCAACTTCTTACGGGCCCTGGCTTCTCAGGATACCTCCCCAAAACAACCCAATTAAAGGCTCTTCGAGAAGAGACATAAAGAGGTTAGCTGGGAGGACCTAAAAGACAAAGTTTAGCAGTTCTCATTTTTCACCAAAGACCATTACTGAGCAGATGTCTGATTCTATCCAGTCTTTGTTTGAATTACTCCTCACTCTTTACTCTTGACATCCAAGTACATGAGATTTGATGGTGTTTTAAATTCATTTTGCAGGCTTTCTTTGGTGACAAGATGTTCTCCCCTCATACATTTTTCCACCAGTTCGTTGCCACCAAAGTCTGCAACCAGAAGTTCTTTCATCGTATCTGCAGCAACTTCCTATTTACCTTGAGTGGATTTGATCAAAATAATTTAAACATGGTACGTGTAAGTAGTTGGGTTCAGGAAACAATTGTTATTTTGCATAAAGGTGATGAGAGTTCATTCTAGATTGCTTGCAAACCTCATTTAACATTTTCCTTTTATGTCTCCTGGAATATAATTAGTATTTTCATAACATTTTATCAGGACCGAGGGTCAATCTGCTTTCGTAGGAGGATTTAAGGAAAATGGTTTGCCACTAAAAAAATCCCTTCAATGATTGTTGACCAAGATGTCACCATGGAAAGGCTATTTGTTTGAATTAAGACCGTAGTTTTAAAACTTACATGACTAGCATGAGGCCTATCTTAGATATACTGAAGTAGAATTTAAGTGAATACAGAATTAATTTTCCATTTACTCAGGTGATTTGGCTATAGTGATTTTGTGGATCACTTACTTCCTTAATCCAATGGAATAAAGGGATGGTTCTTCAAAAATAGCCACAGATTTACAGTAAAAATGCATCCTGAGAGCTATAAAGGTTTCAGTTCTTGTCAAATTATATCTAAATTCATTGTGATCCTTTTTTTCCTAAGTTATCACTAGCTGACCCCAAAGAGTGGAAGTTCCTCTCTGCTCCTCAGATAGACAGGAGAAAACAAACAGGGAAAGAGGTCAAGATAGTCTTCACCCATCTTACAGAATTAATGCCGAGAGCCTACCTCCCTCTGCCCACTGGAAAACTGATAATACTTGAGAAATGCTGAGCAAGTTCGTTCTTTTTGATTTTCTAACTCTAGGACTCTGCACATTTCCTTATAATACTTGATTATGTCTTGTTTAGCAGTCCTTTGGAAATTTTTGGTTCAGTTCTTTTTGCCCTCATTTCTTCCTTTTGCTTTACTATCTTGACATTGGAAAGCAAATCTGACATTGATTTTGTTCTTTTCCTTCTTTCTTGTCTGCTTATTGAATTTTGCTTTCTTCCTATATGTTGTTCTTAATATCATCCCACAATTCTTCTGTTCTTTAGTCATTAGTGTCTAATGCATCAAATATCTTCTTGAGATATTCTCTAAATTCAGGCGGAATATGTGCAAGGTCATGTTTTCGCTTTCCTGGACTTGTCTTCATTTTCTTCAGCTTCAGCCTGAACTTCCATATAAGCAACAGATGGTCTGTTACACAGTCTGCCCCGGCCTTGTTTTCGCAGATGCATAGAGCTTTTCCACTGTCTCTTCCCACAGATGTATTCAGATTGATTTCTGTGTATTTCGTTTGTTGAGGTCCAATTGTATAGTATTTTGTTTTCCTTAAAAAAAAGATATTTGCAATGGATAAATCATTAGTTTTGCAGAATTCCATGATATGATCTCTAGCATCATTTCTATCACAAAGGCTATATTTTTCAACTACTAACCCTTCCTTTTTGTTTTCAACTTTTGCATTCCAGTCACCAGCAATTATCAACACATCTTGAATACATATTTGATCAGTTTCACACTGAAGAAGTTGGTAGAATTCTTTAATTTCATCATCATTGGCTTTAGGCGTTGGTGCATACATTTGAATAATAGTGGTATTAACTTATCTTCCTTGTAGGCATATGGGTATTATCCTTTCACAGCCAGCACTCTACTTTAAAATAGATCTTGGAATGTTATTTATTATTATTATTATTTAAAGATTTTATTGTGAATTGAGTGATAGTTCACAGGACAGATCATCAATTTTGCACTCAGCCAATCATATTTTGTTTCATTGCAATGATTATAATCTCCTCCATGCACCATCAGCTAACAGTATTTGCCTCTATTACTTTTTTTTGTTTTGTTTTAGTATAATGTACACAAAACACACAGAAAATATATATTAGTTTAAATGACCAAAGGACACATTTTGCAAGCCATTCTCCTGCCCACCAGCACACAGCTTTTCTCTTTCCATGTGTCTAGAGTCCTCAGCTGCTCTATCTTTCTATGCCATCACCTCTGCTTCTGTCTCTGGTGTCACTGTTTCTTTGGTTAGGATCCCATGCTCAACTCATGCTCTTCCCTCTTGATGGTCCTAGGGTCCACTGTTCCTGGAGTGAAAGATTAACTACTTCCCGTTTTTGTTATAAATCTTCTACCTTTACAGTTGTGACAACTGCAATTAATCATGATAACAATTGCTCATTATTGAATCAAAAGAATCCATTCTCCCCATCCCCTTTCACCAGACCCATCTAGACAAGAGGAAAACTATTCAGTGGGGATTTTACCCTACCTCCCTTGCTCTGAAACTAAGCACACACTTGAGAACTTTTAAGCCAGCCATTTCATGCCTTTATAGCACCCCCACCCCATTTTTTGGTAGCCAATGTCTAAGTTGCCTGTCCCTATCAACTCTGTGTACTGAGGGGATAGGCTTGACCTTTGATATAAAGACTCTTTCCCTCTCAGTAGGAATTTTGAGCAACTACATCCATTAGCAAAGGTCAGGTTCATGAAATTGTAGCAATTTACACTTACTTCCTGTATCAAACTTCTGGGTTAATGTGCTGAAGTGCAAAGTCATTTGAACTGCAAGGTAGGTGGATCAAGTTCACTAGCTGCTCCTTGGAAACCCTATACAAGGTTGCCATGGGTCGGAACTGACTCGAAGGCACTTAACAACAACAACAACAACAACAACAACAAGTAGCATAATGGCTACAAGTTGGGCTGCTAACCTCAAGGTCAGCAGTTCAAAACTACCAGATTTTCTCTGTGGGAGAAAGATGAGGCTTTCTGCTCCCATAAAGATTTGCAGCCCTGGAAATCCTATGCGGGGTTGGTATGAGTCAGAACCTACTCCAATGCACACTACCACCACTACCAGTTGAGTTCTGAACAGAAAAGTATCCAACCTAGGTCAAATGGGTACTATTTGCAAGTTTGGGGAAGTGTTCTTTTTGATGATGAATGTGACGCCATTCCTCTTCAATTTGTCATTCCAAAAATAGTAAACCATATGATTATCTGATTCAAAATGGCTAGTACCAGTCCATTTCAGTTGCATTGTTCCCCATCACCAAATGAATGTTCTGAAGGCTTTACTCCATTCATGTCATCATGGTCATCTCTACTCTGAAGAGGCAATCTTTCCCAGTAGCATTTTGAGTGCCTTCCAACCCAAGGGACTTACTGTAGACATTTTATCTGACAATATACTGGTGTTATTCAGAATCTTTTCCTCTTTAGGCACTCTATCTGACAATTTTCCACTGTTATTCATCAGATATTCAGTAGTTAAATAGTCAGAAGTAGGCTGCCTCTCCTTCTTCCTAGTCTGTCATAGTCTGGAAATGCAACCAAAACCTGTCTACCACGGGTTACCCTAGTGGTATTTAAAATGCCAATGGCATAGTTCCCAGCATTACAGTAACATGTAAGCCACCACAGTATGACAATTTGAGAGGGGAGTGGTGGTTTGTAGACTGGACTACATAACATTGCAACTCCTACAGATGTATTTATTTTAGTGGAGTATAATTAGAATCCAAGAGTAGCATTTGTCAAATATTGAAAAAATGTGTGTGTTCAAAACTCATCTCTAGAGATTCTGATTCAGTAAATTTGGGTGGCTCATTAGTATGTGCATTTGTAAAAGCTCCAAGGTATTTCTTATATTTACTTTGGTGGAAAATAACACACACACACACACACACACACACACACACACACATACAAACACACATACAGGAGAGGGCATCAAGAAAGTTCAGAAAAAGTTGATTATCTTTTTATTCCATTTTCCCACAAATTGTTTGAAGCCCTATGGTATATGTACACCTATAATGCAATTTGAAGTGTGGAAGAATCCATTTTGATTCTTTTTGAACCAGAAGAAATCTGAATTCTAATGAAGGTTAAAATATTGGATGGATTTGTTTCATCATCTTTTAAAGAGCCCCAAATAATATTTTCTAAATATTCTTTATATATTCAAAGAGCCCCATATTCTTTATCAGAAGGAAACATCAGATTTGTACTCAATATGTTTTACAAAGAATTTTCTCTGAATGCCCCTTGGAACTTAAAACATGGTAAATAGGATGTCCTGATTCTTTCCTAGATTGATCACTAGGCTTTTATCCTTACCTCTCTGTATTAGACCTGTCTCATGTGGGCTTCATGAAGGCACTAACTACTGAAGGCTGTAGTCTTTGAGCTACATCAGTAAGTATTTTAAATCCTCTTCGACTTCAGCAAACAAGGTTGTGTCAGCTACATATCGAAGGCTGTTAATGAGTCTTTCTCCAATCCTGATACATGTTCATCTTCATATAATCCAGCTTTTCAGATTATTTTCTCAGTATACAGTTGAGTAAGTATGGTAAAAGAATACAATCATAGCACACACTCTTCCTAATTTAAACCATTCTATATTCCCTTGATCTGTCTAATGACTGCAAAAATAGAGATGGAAGAGAGGAATGTTCTTAACAATGAATGTTCTTAACAATATATTCAGGTGATAGAGTTTTGTTTTTTGTTTTTTTTTTATAAAAAGAATCAATTTTCTCTCAACTGCTTACTATTAACCTTGGAGTGAGGAATACTCTCTTTCTTTTTCAGAGTCGCTTAGACGTTTATTTGGCACAAGGCAGCGAAGGAACATCTGTTCAGAATATGCTGCACTGGGCCCAGGTACATGCCTCCTGTTCCTGATGTCACATGCGGCACTGCAGTGACAGTCCCAGGGTGAATTTCCAGAGAGCTCACAACAGGGCTTTACAGTCACCTGCTACTGTCAGTTTGTTATTTCTGGCATTAGCACAACACTTCAAGATGCAAGACTTCCCATTCCTTGATAACGAGATTTGAATTCTCATTATAAATCAAGCCGAATGCTGTTGAGTTGATCGGGACTCCTGTCAACTACATGTGTGTCAGAGTAGAACTGTCCTCCAGAATTTTCAATGGCTGATTTTTCCGATGTTGTTCATCAAGCTTTTCTCCTGAGGCACCTCTGTGTGAACTAGAATCTCCATTCTTTCTGTTAGCCAAGCTTTACTCCCCTCTGTTCTCCATGTTCCCAGTATCTGGGCTTTAGTCTGGTTCCCAGATATTCTGAATATGTTTTCATCCTTAAATTACTCCAAAATACCTTTTTAAGAAAATCCTTGTATTTCCTCTTTAAGGAACTTTTCACCTTTAATAGAACTTTATAAAATGTTACAACCTCTTCCAGAAGGTCTGCTCATGAGGTATTTCAGAGTGTGAAAAATAATTCTTTATTTAGAGAAAATTAAATGTTGCTGAGGGATTTTTATAGATTAGCAACTCATGTTTATAACAACACTTTAAACTGTGTTTATTTACTATTTTAACTCAATTATCAATTAACTTAGAAATAAGCCAAATTCAATTGCGATGGTTTCTAGGTCAAATGTGTGCCTATATTCTTGGCTAGTGACTTTAGTCACAAATTCATTTGAAAAGTTGGCAAATATATATACTTCTTCCTGTGTTTGTGAAAGGGGTGGTGGTGGTAGACAGAGATGCTTTTTTAAAAAGTTTACTATACCTGGGATCCCTAGGAATTGGTATTTTAAATTGAATCCTAAGAAACTTGTTTCCTCTTTAAAGTTGAAAATTTCTGCTATATACTTTAGAAAACATGTTGTCTCCAGCCTAAAACAAATATAACTTGAAGCACTAGTTGTGTATTTCTTAAATACTTTGAAAAGCTCCGTCTCCAAAAGATCAGGCTTCATGTTCTTTTATGAAAAAAAAATGTTTAGGACATAGGTCTTCCTAACTGTCGTCTGCCAGTTTGTTGTTCTGTAGTAGTTTGCATGTTTCTGTAATGCTGGAAGCTATGCCATCAATATTTGACATACCAACAGAGTTACGCATGATGAACAGGATCCAGTGGAGCTTCCTGACTATGACAGACTAGGAAGAAGGAGCGTGGACTACTTCTGAATGTTTAGCCAATTAACACCTTATGAATATCAGCAGAACATTGTCAGACATAATACCAGAAGATGAAACCATTATGAATAGCACCAGAATATTGTCAGATATAGTGTGTGAAGATGAGCCCCTCAGGATGTAAGGCATTCAAAATATAATGAGGGAAAAGCTGCTTCCTCAAAGTAGAGTCGACTGTGATGATGCAAATGGAATAAAGCTCTTGGTACCTTCATTTGCTGATGGGGTACAATTTAAAATGAGGAAAACTTCCTATTAATAATCAGGACATGGAATATATGAAGTATGACTTTAGGGAAAATGGAAGTCATGCAAAATGAAATGGAACACATCAGGATTGATATCCTAGGCATTGGTGAGCTAAAATGGGCTGGTATTGGCCATTTGATAACAGAAAATCGTATAGTTTACTATGTTGAGGAAGATAAATTAAATTGATGCATTCATCATCAAATAGAACACCTCAAGATCAATCTTGGAATATAACTGTCTGTGATAGGATAATATCCATATGCCTACAAGGAAGAACAGTTAATACCACTGTATTCAAATTTATACATCAACCACTAAAGTCAGTGATGATGAAATTGAAGAATTCTACCAACTTCTTGAGTGTGAAGTTGAACAAAAATGTATTCAAGATGCATTGATAATTGTTGATAATTGGAAAGTAAAGAGAAGAAACAAAGAGGAAGGATCAGTAGTTGGAAAATATGGCCTTGATGATAGAAATGATGCTGAAGATAGCATGACAGAATTTTGCTATACTGACTTATTAATTGCAAATACTTTTTTTTCAGCAATGTAAGAGGCAACTACACACATGGACCTCAATAGAGGGAATACAAGGAATCAAATTGACTGCATCTGTGGAAAGACACAAAACAGAAACTCAGTATCAGCCAAAACAAGTCTAGGGGCAGATTGTGAAACAGACCATCAATTGCTGATATGCAATTTCAAGCCAAAGCAGAAGAAAATTGTAACAAGTCCACAAAAGCCAAAATATGACTTTGAATAGATACCATCTGAATTCAGAAACCATTCTCAAGAACAGATGTCATATGTTGGACACTAATGACCAAAGACCAGAAGAGTTATAAGATGACATCAAAAGCATACAGGAAGAAAGCAAAAGGTCATTAAAAAGACAGGAAAGAAAGAAAAAAAATGGACTTCATAAGAAACTCTGAAACTTGCTCTTGAGAAGTAGAAAAGCTATAGCAAATGGAAAAAATGAGGAAATCAAAGACCTGAACATAAAATTTCCAAGGGCAACTCAAGAATACAAAGTAAGCAATTATAATGAAATGTGAAAAGACTTGGAGTAAGAAAACCAAAAGAAGAAAACATTCAGCATTAGTCAAGATCAAAGAACTGAATAAAAAAATTCAAGTCTTAACTTGCTTATGGGGCAAAATATTGAATAATGTATAAAACATAAAAAAAGATGAAAGAATACACAGAATATACAGAGTCAATGAAATGGTTAATGTTCAGCCATTTCAAGAGGTAGCATATGATCAAGAATCAATGGTACTGAAGGAAAAAATCCAAGCTGCACTGAAGGCTTGGTGAAAACCAAGACTCCGGGAACTGACAGAATACAAACTGAAATCTTGCAACAAACTGATGCAGTACTGGAGGCACTCACAGTTTACACCAAGAAATTTGAAAGAGAGCTACATGCTCAACTGATGGGTAGAGATCTATATTTGTGCCCATTACAAATAGAGGTGACCCAACAGAATATAAGAATCATCTAACAATATCATTAACATTACATGCAAGTAAAATTTTGATGAAGATAATGAAAAATGGTTACAACAGTACATTAACAGAGAACTGCCAGAAATTCAAGCCAAATTTAGAAGAGGACATGGAACTAGGGATATCATTACTGATGTCATATGGATCTTGGCTGAATGCAGAGAACAACAAGAGATGTTTATTTGTGCTTTATTGCCTCTGCAAAGGCTTTCTTCTGTGTAGATCATGACAAACTATGAAAACATTGCAAATAATGGGTATTCCAGAACACTCAGTTGTGATCATGAGGAACCTGTCATTAGACAGAGCAAGAGGATACAGAATGGTTTTAAATTTGGAAGAGTGTGTGCCATTTTTGTTGTCTTACTTATTTAACGGTATACTGAACAAATAATCTAGAAAGATTATATAAAGAATGTGGCATCAGGATTGGAGGAAGACTCATCAACAACCTTTGATATGTAGATGGCATAACCTTGCTTGCTGAAGGGGAAGAGGACTTAAAAACTTACTGATGAAGAGCAAAGACTACAGCCTTCAGTATGGATTACACCTCAATGTAAAGAAAACAAAAATCCTCACAATTGGGCCAATAATAACATAATAAATGGAGGAAAATTTGAGGTTGTCAAAAATTTATTTTTCTTAGTTCCATAATCAACATTCATGGACGTAACAGCCAAGATACCAAAGATGTATTGCATTAGGCAAATCTACTGCACAAGACCTCTTTAAAGTGTTCAAGAGTAAAGATGTCAGTTTGAGGACTAAGGTGTGCCTGACCCAAAGTCATGGTATTTTTAATAGCCTCATATGCATGTAAAAGTTGGACAATGAATAAGGAAGACCAGAGAATACTCAATGTATTTGAATTATGGAGTTGTAGAAGAATAGTACAAGTATCATGGACTTCCAGAAGAACAAACAAACCTGTGTTGGAAGAAGTACAAACAGAAAGCTCCTTAGAAGCCAGGATAGAGAGACTTCATCTCATACTTTGGACATATTATCAGGAAAGACCATGTTACCTGGAGGACTTCATGCTTGGTAAAGTGGAGGGTCAATGGAAAAGATGAAGACCTCCAACAAGATGGATCGTCACAATGACAGCAACAATAGGCTCAAACATAATAACAATTGTGAAGATGGCACAAGAGGGGGTAGTGTTTTGTTCTGTTGTGCATAGGGTCACTATAAGTTGGAACCAACTAGATCGCACCTAACAACTACAACAACAACTGGTGGTGAGATAGATAAACCCTATAATACACATGACCTTTCAGGTATATAGTATCAACTGACACTTATTAAGTACTTACAGCTATGAGTCGGAACCGACTCCATGGCACATAATCATTACCACCATATGTTTTACTTAGTGATGATAAAGATGATTTTGTTCCATTCATTGAATTCTCATAGCAATTTTTCATTGAAGGCATTAGTATCCTCATTTTACAAATAGCATAGGCGTTCCCTTACACACCTGCTAACTGACTTCTCTTAAGGAGATCTCTTTTCCTTTGAGAAAAACCTCCCTTCAGGAAAGAAATTAGTCGGAGATAAAATATAGAGCTCTGGTAGCACAGTGGTTACAAATTGGGCTTTGAATTGCAAGGTCAGCAGTTTGAAACTACCTGCTGTTCTGAGGGAGAAAAATGAGGCTTTCTGTACCCGCAAAGATTTGCAGCCTTGGAAACCCTGTACAAGGTCGCTATGAGTCAGAACCGACTCCATGGCACATAACAACAACAATAATATATGATGATGATAGTACTAATATTAAGCAAAATGAGCATCACCAGGCACTACTTTCCTTATCCTGTATATTCCTCTATTTAGTCTTCTTGCCCTATCATTCTTATTTTACTTCTTTAACTCTGTTTCCTCATCTGTAAAATGAAAATGATAATAATATTTATCTCATTGCCCTGTATCACAGATTCAGTTGCCTGTTAAGCTTAAATTCAATCTCATGTCTTTTTTGAGGCTAGAACCAAGTGCTATACCAGGACATTCTACTAGCTTTTGTTGTTGAAAATCAGCTGATTCAAATAGCTGCCCACTGCTACTCCTATAAATATAAATCAAGGTAGAAATATTGTTTAAAAATTGAGATAAAATCAATATATGTGAAAACAAACATTTGAGAGACACGCAATGCAAACAGCTGTTAGAATACTCTTGAAATAATTTAATAAAGTGCTTAAAGTAAACGTGAAAATTATCTATCTCCTGAATTAAGCATGGATTGTAAATAGAAGAAAAAGAAACCAATGTACATTACTCAAAACACACAGCAACCCTAGAACAGAGTAGAAGTGCCTCAGAAGGCTTCCCAAGCTGTAATCATTACTACCACATCTTCCTCCTGGGGAGCAGCTTGTGGGTTCACACTGACACCCATTCAGTTATCCACGGTGCTTATCCATGGTGCCATTAGGACTTGACAGCAAAGGGTTAATGTGCATTAGTGTTTTTATTCAAATATCTAAAGTATGAAAATCAAAATTAATAAAAGATCATGCCTGGTGTCTCAGAGACTCGGTGTCTTGGCTCAACAGACAGTGGGCAGACAGTAACCCCACACCTCACAGATAGCACTAAGGAAACTCTGAGAATAATCATTTTGTTCAATATGAATAATTATGCTTAAGAAAAAGGATGATGGTGATAATAATAACACCCTGTAATTAGCGTCTGAATGGTGCAAACAGCTAATGCATTGGTTGTTAACCAAAATTTTGTTGGAGGTTTAAGCCCACCCAGAGGCATCTCAGAAGAAAGGCTTGGTGATTTCCTGCTGAAAACTTGTTGTTGTTGTTAAGTGCCGTCGAGTCGGTTCCGACCCATAGCGACCCTGTACAGGGTTTCCGAGGGTGTAAATCCTTACGGGAGTAGAAAGCCTCATCTTTCTCCCGCGGACAGGATGGTAGTTTCAAACCGCTGACCTTAAGGTTTGCAGCCCGATTCGTAACCACTATGCTACCAGAGCTCCTTAGGCATGGAAAATACTATGGTGGACAGTTCTCCTCTGGCATACGTTGGGTCACCATGAGTTGAAATCAACTTGGTGGAAAGTGGTTTAGTTTTCTGAATTTTTGGAGTAATACCCTAGAATTTCTGATAAGAATAATAAGTTATAAAGTTGTTTAATAAAAATGTTGCTGCAGCTATTAAGTACTGTCGCGTCGGTTCTAACTCGTAGTAGCCCTATATAGGGTTTCTGAGACTGAAAATCTCATAAAATCTAATTTTTCTTCCAGGTTCATAATAGTCCGCCTGCTGCCAGTTAGTGAATTCCTACTGATAGTGACCCACCTATGGTTTCCTAGGTTGTAAATCCTTCCAGAAGCAGAAGGCCTCCTTTTTCTCGTGAGGAGTGGCTGTTAGATTTGACCTGCTGCCTTGTGATACGAAGCGCAGGAATAGCCTAGTCGCTATCAGGGATCCTTGTTAATAGGAGCAGCAGGAATTATTCAAGTGTGGGAAATGCATAATTGATGCCTTAATGAAAACAAATACAAGAAGTCCTGGAGCCAAGATATTAAAAACTCATTCAATTGAGCATCTGTGTTTAAATTTCTAATTAAATTAAATATTTGAGGCCTCCCTACCTGACAATTTTCATTAGGAAGGTATGTTGTTGCTGTTCAGTGACATCAAGTCAGTTCCAACTCATAGCAACCTGTACAAGGTTGCTGAGGAATGGCTGGTGGGTTTGAATTGCTGACCTTGTCATTCAAACGACCCTGTGGCCCAGTGCTTATAGGGAAGAGTAAAACATTATATTTCTCACACATCAAGTCAATTATGTAAATTAGTTTAAATTTTTAACATTTATCCTGGTGTGGCCCTGTAAAATCAGCAATGGACTGTGAAACATGAGGTTGGCAGTTCAAACCTACCAGCTGCCCCTCAAAAACCCTACACAGGGTTACGATGAGTAGGAACCGGCTCAACAGTACTAAACAACAATGTCGTTTTTCTTATTAAAGTATTCTTAATTTTCACTCATGGGCCGAAATAGTGAAAGGTATGTCAATCTCGTTTGTATTTTTCTTCTTTAGTGTTTTTAAATATACATTGTTTTCTCTATCATATAAGTGTGTTTATTATTTCATTTTACTTTAGGCTGTTAATTCGGGTCGATTCCAAGCTTTTGATTGGGGAAACTCAAATCAGAACATGATGCACTTCAACCAGGTACAATATGATAATAATAATCAGTTGTACATTATAAATAAACTAATAGAATCTATATCCACTTCTTGAATATATACTATGTCCTATTCACTATGCTGCTTATTAAATTCTTACCATGTGCCACATTATTATATCTGATCCTTACAATGACACAGCCAAGTGAGTATTACTATCCTACTTTTCCAGAGGCTCAGAGAGTTTAGGTAAATTGCCAGTCATTTTCACTAGTGAGAACCAGGATATGACCCTAGATTTCTTAGATCTAAAGTCTATCCTTGGTTTACTTTTACACACCTATGGCTTCTTAAAACACAGACAGCCTTAACACGTAAGGCCATATATTGAAGAGATAATTGTTCGTGTTGTGTTGCCAAGTGCCGTCAAGTCGGTTCCGACCCATAGCGACCCTGTATAGGGTTTCCGAGGAGCAGCTGGTGAGCTTGAACCGCCAACCTGGCAGTTCAAATGGCTTTGCAGTTTGGCGCATTAACCCACAGTGCCACACCAGGACTCTGGTGAGATAATTAGAGACCCATAAATTTTGTTTTTAAAGTATATTTTCTGACTTTTTACCAAGATCTTGCAAAGTGCATGCTGTCTTCATCATTCTTTGGGATGTCATTTGCTGTCCTTTTTTTTTTTTTTTTTAAAAAAAGAAGAATATCAGGTTTACTAAAACTAAACCAAAGAAAACTCACTTACAAAAAAAAAAAAAAGCTGTGGAATCTGCTAGTGAATAGTCTGTAAGCAAATTTCCTGACATAATTTGAAAATCTGGGGGAAAATGATATACTAAAGAGAAATGTGTTATATTATTGTATTGCTATTTTTCTCCAGTATAGAACAAATCCAATGAGTTTTTATTTCCTATTGATAGACTTAGTTCAAGTTTAGCAAGTAGGCATCAAAATTATGTACTTTTATCAAATCAAGGACATGGAAATTTTGAAATAAAAAAAAATGCTACTTATTTAAAGCTAAATTTAAGTGGTAATTTTAGTGGCACCGTAATAACTGCTGTAATTAGAATTTTAACCAGAATTCGTTTGAATATTTTAATTTGTTTCTTCTGAACTGCTATAGTTATGCGCACACACACATGCACAGGATGTCAAAGTACTCCTTACTCCTATTAGTAACAATTCTGTGTCCTAGAAAGAGCCTCTAATTGCTTCAGGAGAAGCTTTTAAAGTGATTTTATTATAATAGACTCATAGCTGTTTGGATGAGAGTTGGTCATAAGTATTAACCCTAACAGTGTACTCACACATGGAATAAAAATTGTGACTGTATGGTGATTCAGGTTCACTTATGGATCTTTTGCTTGAGATTTTGGAGAGAAAAGTGAGTAATTAAGGGGAAAAATGTAAAACAATACTGAGAGTCCACTATGCATAAAAAGGAAGAAGTTTACTTTCCACTACAATTAATCACTGACATTTTGATTGAAAAGTATATACCTAATGAAAGTGCTGGATTCCTGGTGTGGCGCTATAGGATAAGCACTGGAATGCGAACCACAAGGTTGGCAGTTCAAACCCACTAGCTGTTCCTTGGAAACTCTGTATAGGATTACTATACATGGGCATCAACTCAATGGCAAAAAAGAACAAAAATAATGAAAGTATTACTAGAAAGATGATCCCTCATGTAAATGAGAGATCTCTTCTTCCAGAATCTTATCTTATTCCTCAAAAAGCACAAGTCATAGATATAAAACTGCCCTTAATATTCACAATTTATATATTACACAAAAATTCAATTATTATTAGCATTTTAATATTTCTATATATCTTAATTATCCACTTTTAGTTTTGGAAGAAGTTGCTTTTAAGAGCTGAAAGTACCATTATTTCTTTAATGTGGTTTTCTATAAAATCTGTTTTTTTCTTTATCTCTTTAATTGATTTTAGTCTACACCTCCCTTTTACAACGTCACTAAGATGGAAGTTCCAACAGCAGTGTGGAATGGAGGACAAGACATTGTGGCTGATCCAAAAGATGTTGAGAATTTACTCCCTAAACTTTCCAACTTTATTTATTACAAGTGGATTCCACACTATAATCATATGGATTTTTACCTTGGACAAGATGCACCACAAGAAGTTTACCAAGACCTAATTAGCTTGATGGAAGAGTGTTTGCAAAATTAAGTACTCAATGTGATGGTAAACCAATGACTCTCACCCCTAGTGGCTACATATTTGTGTAATCCCTCTCCCCTTGACTATGGGTGGGACCTGTGGCTTGCTTCAAACCAATAAAATTGACAAAGGTGACAAAATGCCAACTCTTTGTTCATGTCATATTATATAACAATGGTGATGGAACATCACACCCCAATTACATTAAATATATAGGAATCAATGTTGGTGGTAATGGTGGTCGTGTGTCGTGGATTCAGTCCATATACATAGTAACCCTGTATAGGGCTTTTGAGACTGTTCATCTTTAAAGGAGTAGAAAGCCTCATTTTTCTCTCATGGAGTGACTGGTAGAGTCAAACTTCTAACCCGGTGGTTATCAGCCCAACTCATAACACATTATGCTACCAAGGGATTTATTTTGGTTGTGATGAAGTTTATGTGCCATGGTGTTGGTTCTGGCTCATAGTGACCCTGTATAGGGTTTTGGAGGCTATAAATATTGACAGGAGCAAAAAGTTTCATCTTTCTCCCATGGAGTGACTGGTAGATTTGAACTGCTGACCTTGTGGTGAGCAGTCCAATACATAACCCAGTATGCCACCAGGGTTCCTTAGGAATTCATTTTAGCAGATTGTAAGAAGGTATTCTTATTGGCTTTTTGGGGTAAACAGCTACATTGATAAAACCCACATGACAAGTAACTGTGGGCAGTCTGAGGACCTAAGGATGGCCTCTAGCAAAAACCTCAGTCCTCAGTCTTAGAGTGGGGATGTAGGATAAGCACTGGACTGTTAAGATCAAAGGTTCAAATCCATCAGTTGCTCCTTAGAAATCCTTTACAGAGTCAGTATGAGTTGGAATCGACTCAGCAATACTTAATAACAACAGTCATAAAACCACAAGGTTATGAATTCTGCCTGACACCTGAATGACCTGAATGACCTTGGAAGGTGGAATAACTAAAGAATTATCGGCATTCTGGTACAGGAAGAATCACACAAGTCCACAGAGGAGATAGTTGAAGAACTGTTGGAAGAAAATTTCCCTAACATCCTGAAAAGTGACAAAATAAGCATTCAAGAAGCTCAACGAACCCCAGGAAGGATAGACCCTAAAAGACAATCACCAAGACATATAATAATCAAGCTCTCCAAAATAAAAGATACAGACAGAATACTGAAAGCAGGTAGAGAAAAGAGAAGTGTAACATGCAAAGGTAAGCAAATCAGATAAAGCTTCGATATCTCAAAAGAAACCATGCAGGTAAGAAGGCAATGGGGAGATATATATAAAACCCTGAAAGAAAAAAACTGCCGACCAAGAATCCTCTACCTATCAAAGCTGTCAATTAAATATGATAGTGTAATCAGAACATTCCAGAAAAAACAGAAGTGTGGTGAGACCTGGGGACACTTGAGCCCATGGGCAAGGACATAGCCACAGTGGGTTAGAGCTGAGAGTGAAGCATCCAGCTGATATGAAGTGAAGGGAGATGCACGGGACACTCACATTTGCAGACAGTGCCTATTTGACCTAGCCTCAATGACTTGATAATCAGAACTCAACTAGATGAAGATTAAAAAAAAATTTTTTTTTTTTTATAAAGGAAACAAGGGTAAATTGCTACATTGTGATGAACCTAACCTATACTCATGTAGGTAGTAACTCTAAACACCAACAGAGATGAAAGAGTCTTTACATCAAGTATCAATGCTATTCCTTCTGTACACAGGGTAGATAGGGACGGACAACTTAGACATAGGCTACCCAAAATGAGGGGATGATAAAGGCACAAAGTGACTGGTTTACAAGATTTTAAGAGGGAGTTTAGTTTAAGAGTTGGGGGACGGGGAGAGAGAGTCCCTACTGAATAGTTTTCATCTTGTCTAGATGGGTCTGGTGAAAAGAGATGGGGATAAGATTCATATGATTCAATAGTAAATAATTACTATCATGACTAATTGCGACTGTCACAATTCTAAAGGTAAAAGTTTTTAAAACAAAAACGGGGGAGTGGTTAATCTTGCAGTCCTGAAACAGAGGACCCTAGGACCATCAAGTGAGAAGAGCACAGGGAGAATGCAGGACCTTATCCAGAGAAGCAGAAGCAGTAACAGCAGAGACGGAGGCAGAGATGGGGACATGGAGAGGGGGAGTGGCTGAGGACTCTAGATTCCTGGGAAGAGAAGGACTGAAAGCCAGTGACCAGGAGGCAGACTTGCAGAATGTACCCTTTGGAGGTGTAAATAATTATATACACTTGAGTGGTTTTTGTTGTTGTTGTTTTTTAAAAGCTGGAGTGAATAGAGAGAAATATTATTGACTGATGGTACATGAAGGGGATTATAATCATTGTAATGAAACAAGGTGCATGATTTGTTGAATGTAAAACTGATGATCTACCTTGTAAGCTTTTACTCAATCCACAATAAAAACTTAAAAAAAAAAAAAAATTAGTTCTATAGGTTCATTAGTAGACAGGCCTGGTGATGTGCTTCCAAAAGTCACAGCCTGAACCCTGTGGAGTACATTATGACATACGGAGTCACCATGAGTTGGAGGAACTTGATGGTAACCAATTACAAGAGCTTGTCTGGTCTGGTTCTTTAGCCCTCTGTACTGATGTCAACCACATTTTTAGAATTAATTCAAGGCATGCAAGTGGCATTTAAACATTTGCTCTCCTACCTCTAATGAAATTTGGGATATACTCACACACAAGTTAAAATATTTTTTTTTTTCTCAGCATAAGTAGAGGTTTCTCCCAAAGTTGCAGGCTAGGACTCCATTAAAAAAAAAAAAATCTGTTTATTGCTTATTCTGAGCTGACTTTCAAAAGTTAGCTAGCTAGTAAGCCTTAGGAAGCCTATAGGCACCCTCCTTGTGTCATCCACATTTCTCTCACAGAATGCTCCCAAGAAGAGCATTCATTCAGGCTGGTCTTAAAAAAGAATATCATATAGGAAGAAAGCAAAAGGTCATTAAGAAGACAAGAAAGAAAGGAAAGACCAAAATGGATGTCACCAGAGACTATGAAACTTGCTCTCCAGTGTAAGACGTTAACCCAAATGAAAAAAATGGGGAAGTTAAAAAGATAACAGAAAATTCCAAAGGGTGATTGAGACAAAAAAGTCAAGTATGAAATGTGCAAAGACCTGGTGTTAGAAAACCAAAAGGGAAGACCATGCCTAGCATTTCTCAAGCTGAAAGGAATGAAGAACAAATTCAAGCCTTGACTTGCAATACTGAAGGATTCCATGGACAAATTATTGAATGATGTAGAAAGCATCAAAAGAAAACAGGAGGAATTCACCGAATTACCCAAAAGAAATGGTTGATGTTGAGCCATTTCAAGAAGTAGCATATGATCAAGAACCAACAGAACAAAAAAGAAGAATTCAAGTTGCAATGAAGGTGTTGGTGAAAATCAAGGCTCCCCGATTTGACAGAATATAAATTGAAATATTTCAACAGATTTATGAAACACTGGGTTTGCCTACTCATCTATGCCAAAACAGTTGAAAAACAGCTAGCTACCTGGTCCAATGATTGGAAGAGATTCATATTTGTTCTCGTTATAATGAAAGGTGACCCAACAGAATGCAGAAATCATCGGAAAATATCATTAATACCACATGCAAGTAAAATTTTGCTGAAGCTGTATATCCACAAGGAATTTCCAGAAATTCAAGCCGGATTCAGAAGACAACATGGAACTAGGGATATCATTGCTAACATCAGATGGATCTTGACTGAAAGCAGAGAATACCAGAAAGATGTGTACTTGTACTTTACTGACTATAAAAAGACTTTTGATCATATGAATCATGACATGCTAAGGATAACATTGCAAAGAATGGGTATTCCAGAACACTTAATTATGCTCTTGAGGAACTTTTACAAAGACCAAGAGGTGGTCATTCAAGTAGAATGGGATACTGAATTTTTTTAAATCAGGAAAAATGTGTGCCAGAAGAATGTGGCATCAGAATTGGAAGAAGAAATACAGATGATACAATCTTGCTTGCTGAAAACAAAAACGAATTAAATATTTACAGATGAAGATCAAAGATCACAATCTTTGATATGGATTTCACCTCAGTGTAAAGAAAACAAAAATCCTCACCACTGGAGCAAAATATAACATCATATAATTAGATAAAAAATTGAAGTTATCAAAGACTTCATTTTGCTTGAATTTACCATCAATATTTATGGAAGCAGTAGTCAAGAAATCTAGCGACATATTGCATTAGGAAAATCTGCTGCAGAAGACCTCTTTAAAGTCTTTCAGCAAAGATGTCAGTATGAGGACTGACTCAAGCCATGGAATTTCAATTGCCTTACTCACATTTGAAAGTTGGACAATGAATAAGGAAGACTGTAGAGGAATTGATGCATTTGACTTATGGTGTTAGAGAAGAATATTAAAAGTACCATGGACTGCTAGAAGAATAAACAACTCTGTTGGATTAAGTATAGCCTTGGGAAGCAGAATGGGGAGACTTCATAAAGAAAGAGACATTCTTTAATAATTACCACAGGTATGAGAGGAGGATAGAGTGAGTCACTGGATGGAGGAATGTCACATGTTAAAAACAAAAAAAGAAAATGAAAATTCCTGAAAAGAACTTTCCTGGCCTTTTTCTCACCAATTAAGTTTTCAATTTTCTAAAAAACTTTTTCATAAAAAGGCTCTGTGATTGTTCTTTGTCCTTAAGGAACATCTATCCATATTATTATTATTCCTTTGGAATCCCTAAAAATCAGTCACGATAACCATCTGCTTTGATTGAACCTTGCTCTTTGGTTGTTGTTGTAGCTGTAGTTAGGTGCCATCAAGTCGGTACTGACTCACAGCAACCTCTGTCCACAACAAAGTGAACCACTGCCTGGTCCTGGGCCAACCTCACAGTCATTGGCATGCTTAAGCCCATTGATGCTGCCACTTTGCCAATCCATTTAGCTGGGAGTCTTCCTCTTTTTCTCTGACCCTCTACTTACAA